CGCCTCCGCCTCCGCCTCCGCCGCCCCCCTCCGACCGCCGCCGCTGCCACCACCGCCACCACCACCACCACCGCCACCACCACCACCAACACCAACACCAACACCAACGCCGCCGCTGCTGCCGCCGCCGCCACCCTCATTATCATCAGCAGCAGTGGTGCTAGTGACAGACACAGCGCTGACAATGTTTAAGAGATCATTGGTATTTGAGTCATTCGACCAGCTGCCAACCACCCATTTTATGAAAACCATGTTTATTCCAACCAGCTAGCTATGTTTCCACAAGCGAAAACAAGAAGTTAAGCCACTTAAGTTCCGCAGGTCTGTTTGGGTTTCTGGGACCTTCATGTCCGCCAAATATGTTCCAAATCCGTGAATTTCTGAACATGTGCTTTGGGCAGTAATCTTCCATCTCTCCCAGTCCTCAAACATCAGAAGGTTAGCGTGTGTCTTTATCAAGGCTTTGGGTGGGCCTCGGGAAGAAGACGTCGAGGGCAACCAATTCCCGGCAAAAGTCTTCTTAACCAACACGCTCGCACTGTACCATGCTTTACTGACCACTGCTGTTTTGCGGCTTTCTCTTCTTATTCATGCGTCATCGCTACCATAGCCAATAGCGGAGTCTTTCTGGGCCAGGATGCTTGCCAGTAGCCGTGGATTGGATCCTTCTGTACCGCTCGCCATGAAACGCACGAGGACTTCTGCAGAGAAAGGACACACGGCCTCACTTCCAGCCCCACTTCCAAAACTGGATTGCAGGGCAGCCTGACTCCTTGAGCTGGATTGAAATTTCGTACCTGATTACTCTTGATGTTGCAAATGGTCTGTTATTTCTTGGCTCGAGCCCACCGGCTGCAACACGATCCCAACACACTCGTGATTAGCTTCCACAAGTTCGGGGCGCAGAACCCAAATTCCACAACCGAGGCAACCCTGTGCCTGGCGGAATTTCGATGTTTCACGCACACGAAAGCAGCTGCTGCAAAATGGACACCAGGTAGAACAAATGACCCCAGAAAGGCAGATAGACTGGATCCAGCTCCCACGTAGGCTTGCCCTTGACTTCTCACCCTGCACGTGCACGAGCCATTCCGAAGCCCTGCTTGCCTCCATCTGGACACCCACCTTAGCTGACCGTGCACAGGTCAGAGCTTTCAAGGATGCCCGAATTTCCTGTCGGCTTTAGCTTTAGCAGCTCATACGCCCCGACAACCCATAGTGGAAGCGCCCTTGCTCTTTGCTTGCCACAGCTGCGCCGCCAACTCCGCAATTTCACCATCGGCAAGTCTGCATGGAAGAATCTCTTCCGACTAGGGCCCGAACAATTAGCATGCGGCCCTTCACGTCGATGCCTGCTTGAAGTGGCAGGCTGTGCAGGGAGGCACTTGGGACCAGTCCCGTTCTTACATGCTACTCTGCAGGGGGAGTCTTGCAAAACAAATCCGGCCAAGAGCAGATGCGACATGTCAAATGAAGATGCCCAATTAGCTAGGCCATGGGCCTGCAAGTTTTCGTGCCGGATGCTGCCAAGAGGCGCGATAGATGAAGCATGTTCTCAAAGAAGCTGGCGTCCTTTCTTGCCTCCGGTTGTTGCTGTGTATATGCAGCAAAATTCTCAGAAGTTGAGCTGTGGGACCTGCTATGACCTGCTGGAAATCCAGTCGCGCAAACTTCTCAGGCAGCCCACAAGAGATCCAGGATGGAATGCCAGCACCGGAATCAAGAGAATCCAGGAGGTTGTCAGCACCGCTGACTGCAGCGCGTCCAAGCCGCTTGAATTTGAATGCAAAACCAGGGCCCCAACATTTGGCACCACCCCGAGGAAGGTCCTGCAGATGCGTATATAGGTCTATGTGGTAAACCAGAGGCAGCGACGGAGATCCCTGCTTGCGAACAATGGCTTCTGAAAGCGCTTTTGGAATTCGGATCTGGGATGGTGACAGCAAATAAACTGCGTCCTCTCCCCCCTTGCCGCGCTGCGAAGTTGTTCGCGCACTTCCTGCGATGGTTGCACGAAGCACTTGCAATAGGCTGGGGCGTGCAACGCAAATCAAAGTGCACGTGCACACCATGGAGATTCGCTGTCTGACTGCACTGCATGCTATGGGCATATATCGAAGAGCAGAAAAGATGAACGCCAGCTTCAGTATTGTCCGGCATGTTGGTGAGTCGTCATGATGGAAGGGCAGGTGGATGGGAAGCCTGAGCCTCGAGCATGAGCAGTAGCAGCAGCAGAGGCAGGAGCAACAGCATTCGTCACTCTTGGGTTTGAAAATACAAAGGAACCATCATTCAAGATTGCGCCTGGCCTGGGACAGGTCGGTCGACCGTAGCTTGTTCAGGAAGCGGCAGTTGTGACCTCGGAGCCACTCTCTAAGCAGCAGGTATGGATCTACTCAGTGTACCCGCTGCCACTTAAGTGTCGAGGGGGCCGACGATTATCTCATCCCAAAACCGCCATGGCATAGGACAACATGTAAACAAGATGTCATTGCTAGGGGAAGGGCCCAGGACCTCCTGCTCTGAAAAGCCTGTCAGATCCTGGCAGGGGGAGATTTCAGATGATGGCTGCAGGTTTTTGTGGTCTTGAGAAGGGGCAAAGCCATGCGGCGTCAGCAAGGCATCATAGCCTGACAAGAGACCCGCTACATGCACATGAGAACATCCAGGAATAGCGCTGGGTCCTGCTGTTTGCAATTAGGACTTCAAGAAACCTGCACCTTTTCTGCTAATCGACGTGTTCAACTTCTGGTGGTTCAAATCAGTCCCTCCACTGGTCTCCTCAAAGCCCTTGGAGACGACAACCAGAGGACAGTCCGGCTTGCCAGGGTTGGCAATGCACCTCAGTGGCTGGGAACAGGCTGTGACATGCCTCATCTATCGCAAGGGCATTGTAGTAAGCAAGCGAAAGCGGGCACAAACACACTCTGAGAAGAATGGAAGATTTCAAAAGGAAGTGGATTGACAAGAACGCACGGTAGAGCACGTCCGAGCATGCGGCACAGGGATGTCCATGTGCCGGACCAACCTCAGCCCAAGACCACCTATAATATCCTGAAATTCCTGCGAGACCGCTGACATTGGCCTATCAACTCAGAGGCAAATCTTTATCGGAGCAAAGCTTGGCCGCGGCCAACGAGGTGCAGGGTTTTCCACCTGCAGATGCTACATAGACCCTCAAGTCTCGCTCCTTGGCCCTTGGGCCCTTGGGCCCGTGCCGGCAGCAGAACTGCTCGATGTCATGGTCTTCCTCCTCGTCCTGGCAGGTCCGCAGTCTCAAACCCGAGCTTGTCAAGACCCACATTGAGGCAACAGGTTGCGTGCATCCTGTCTCTACGAGCATCAAGTTAAGGGGTCGAGCCCAGCCTGTAATTCTGTTATGTGGATAATGAATTGCCGCAAGAATTCTTTTGCCCCGTCGGGTCCTCGACTTCGGCCTCATCAATAACCTGCGGGTTGTCAGGCGGACTGAGGCCTCGTAAATTCGGGGAACTCTACACGCCAAGGCACACGCCAAGGCTCTGGAATTGAGAATAATGCCGCATTTACGACAGCCAGGCGCTTCCAATGCCGCATATGCGTCATGATTTCGGCATGCAGGTCAGGCGTTCTACAACTCCAGAACTACTGGGTATTGCTGACACCCTGCTTGGGCGTTTCAAGCCCTTCTGCTGGCCTGCAAGGAATCCTTGCTGGGAATCACCTTCAGCTTCGTGGAAGCTCCATTCCAGACCTGTGCGTGCACGGCCGCTTGCCACTGTGCAACGATTTACTACTGTAAGATTCAATGTGCCATCTTCCTGTGTTCACAAGTAATTAACTGCCATCAAGTCAAGCCAGCCGTCTAAGCTGGCAGAACTAGGCAAGGCGTTGCGGTGCCCCATGTGTAGTATCAAACTGCCTTGTTTCACCTTCGGGACTAGGCAACACTCGTGATGTGACCAACTGTGGCTAAGGGTAGATGATGAAAAACCAGAGTGGCAGCGGCAGTCTGCTTGTAGTTCAACGGAGCAGTACTTTGCTATGGTAGGGATGTACTTGAGAAACTTCTACAGCGAGAGAAGGCACGTCTAAGTGTGAACAGCTTCCTCGGCTTTTCGAAAGGTGCCCAGCAATCCTTGCGCTGCATACTGCACACTGGGCCCCCCGCGCCCATGACCTTGTGGGCAGCAAAAAGGTTGGACCAAGGGTTTAGGGTTTAGGGAATCATATTCAACCCATTGGGATAATATTAGGGTTATATTGGGATGATATTCAGATATTGGGATTATATTGGGGTTATATTAAGTGCTTGCAAGATTTTGGGCAGTTCACTCCTCCAGGCTTGTCTACGAGCTGGAAACCAAGCTATCAGTGAACAGCAAACTGAGAATATCAGAAGTATAGGATTCGTTCTAAGAGGGATAAAACATATTACGGGGGAAGGGATGGAAGGGATTACGTCATTCTGGAAATGTCACTATCACTACAGTCAATCCTCGACTGATCAACTCCGACCCATGAAGCCATACGAGTCGTGAAGGGCAAGAGATTGATCACCTGATGACTGCTGATGAATGGGTGGAAGCATTTAGAGACAAGTACTCGCCTGCAATCCGTGTCGCAGCATCCTCACCACCAATATACCACGGGTCAAGCCTTTGTGTTAAAGGTGCCTCCACAGCGCCAGAACAACCTATGCACAAGAGGGTGCCAAGCATCCACGTCTTTCAATTGCCTGCCGCCTGCACACCAACCAAACCCTTGCAAGAGCAAGATGTCAAACATTCACATTCCGCCAGCTCTTCGTGAAATGCTCTTCAACACGCCACCCACCACAGCAGCAAAGGGTCCAACTGTCACACAGCGCCCACACAGGCAGACCTTGACACCTTACAAATGCCTTGGGGCCTGCTCTGCGCCAAGTATGGCAAAGCCAAACGGTTCATGTCCCACATGTGTTTGGTGCTTACCGTCACCGCATTCTAGCACGCAAGGGACTAAACCTTCGCACCCGCAAATCACCTTGCCACCTGCTATCAAACTTTGGGAAAGGGGTGGAAGACATTGCGCCCTGAAGCTCAAAATCAATCCAAGAATAGCGAAACAGAATGGGGCTAAGCCCAGCCATCCACGAACTGGAGTTGGTTAATCCGTACAGTTTGCGCATACTGCACCGTATTGTATAGAAAGAACCAAACTGTGGGGTATGCGAGACTCCGAGAAACTTACCACATGATTGGCTTGAACCAGCAGAGCCAGAGCTTGAAAACTCCAGTCCTCGCTCCCGGGTCACAGAGAAAAAACCGAATCCTCCAACTGCTTAATGCAAACCACACCCAAACCCTAAATTCTCCACAGATAGCCTGCAGAAAGCGCAGCTCGCCAGAAGTCCCGCTCCACAGGGTAGGCTCCTTCAACAGATCCATCATTTAGGTGTATGCATCTATGAAAACTCTATCAACTCAAAGAACTGGAATTGGAAAGTCCTGTTTGGTGGCAACTCTTTTCTGGCCTCTCCTTTTCAGTATCAAACCTGTTGGCAATGGTGTGCTACGAGTCTGGTCCTTTCACCCTGCGCTAGCTTAGGGCGTGTATGGCGTTGACTACCTGCAGCAGTCCTCTTTCCAGATCTTTCCATCGCCTGACCGTTGACCAGATGAACTTTTTGGAGATGGGCAAGCAGGAACTTACAGATGTCACGCACCAGCAGGTGGAGTGGGAAGGTCAGGCTCAAGTCTGATCAAGTCAAGCATTGTGAAACAGCTGAGGAAGATTTACATACACCAGCTCATCAGGCGTAGGAGAGTTGCATCTCATCATCTTCCCTGGCCTTGTAGCCATGGACTCCGAAGCGCCTGACGGCATGTCGCTCAGCATGCGTTTCGCAGACATTCAGAGCATGCCGAAGTCCCAACATGAAGTTCTGCCTTTGTTGTTGCTGCAAGTAATGGACCAACGACTTCTGCAACATGATGTCAAATCTTGTCCACCGCTTTGAACGAAAAAATAGCCCCGAAGCTGATAGTGTGATGGTAGATTTTGCGATACAAGGTCCTTGCATCCTTTAAGGCAAAACTAAATCCAACTCCTCAGCCCAAATTCCTAGGCATGGCAGGTTTTCTTACCACTTCCAGCTGTGAAACTGGAACCCAGCAGGACGTTTGCGCATTGATGCAGCAACCTTTTTGGACACTAATGCCCAGGAACAAACCTGATCAAAATCAACCCAAATGAAGGCACATCCAGACAAACTCATAGTTTGCGCTACCTCCTCGAAACTTTTTCTGGCGTAAGAGCCTGTGAAGCTGTGCATCGCCGTGAGGCCGTCGGTCTGAGTGCCCAGGCAAGCACCTGCACGGAAATGCTCCTGCTAACAAGAATAGCAGGGCACCAAGCTCTGCAAATCCAAAGAGTTGAGTTTGACAGTGTCCAGCTTCCAAAACGTACAAGGTCAAAGTGATCCATTTCTTATCAGGGTCGAAATTATATAAAAATGATGTTCGCGCTCACATCCGCCGTCCCAAATATGCCTGAAGCGCTTCCCCCTTGTCAGCTCTACACACCTGCAACTCCAGCATTAGCAAGCGACATCCGGACACGCATATGGGCGCCAAAACCAGCAACAACCATCTGCCACATGCATGCCCAATTGGAAGCCGGGACTTTCAAGGCCCACTACAACCTGCTGTTACCAATAATAAGGGTGTTAGCGCAACTTGAAAGAAAGCTTCAGCTAGGCGCGAATCATCAGCCCAAAGCCGATGCGGCAGCTGCAGCAGGATGAAATTAAGCAACAAGACAACCCGTCAGGCCGGTGTACAAACTCCTGCGCTTTTCAAATTCCTGCATTCTTTCATGGAACAGCCAAACCTGAGCCATCGCATCAAGCCCATTAAGGTCACATCGCAGCCGCTCAGTTCGCATAAATGGCCAAAGGTTAAGGCATGGCTTCTTTCACTGCTGCGCAGCATGCCTGAAAGCTCCCATCGAACCATCCCCTACTGCAAGGTCAGCGGCCGCGGCAGAAGCGAAAGCTGCTGGCTCACACAACATACAATACCGCAACATCTTTTTGTTGAAAGTATCTATAGCAGGGTTCAGTCTTGCAACACAAAGCTCATCTAGAAGAATTGTCTGGCAGGAAGATTTTAGGCTGCTAGGACAAACTTCCAGGTCACAGTGTTAATGGCCCCGTACCACCTCAGGCCAATCTTAGCTGAACTCCTCGTCAAAACCCGAGCCCTGAGATGCCAACTTTGACAATCTCCATATGGCAGACTTGTCAAAAGTGAAGCTGGACAAGATCTTATCATGTGCCACCTATGCTAACAAGAATCTCAACGTGTCCGAGAAGAGAGCATGTGTCTGCTGAGCAAGCTGGCACCTCCCGTCCCGCTGGAGAGACCTGGCAAACCGCGATGAGTTGTTGACTTCATGCAGCATGTGGAAGAGGCTTGTGAAGCAAGGCATCTAGAAATGGCTTCCATTAGAAGCACAGCTACCTCACAATAAGAACATCTGAACCAGCAAAGCAAGAAACACAAACAAATACTGACATCCCATTTGCCGACCAACACGAAGACTTCTGTGAGACGTCTCCTTTACCTGGAGAAAAGACCGAAAGCAGATAATAGCAAGGCAAGGAAGGCTGCAGCCACGCCCAGACCTCTACTCTGAACCCGAAGTCCGAACTAAAGCACAGAGGCTCTTGAACTAGCAGAGAAACGTGCAAAGAGGATGGACAGACCGCCGGAACCAAGCACGCAAAGGCCTTCGGTAAGGGCTTCTGCATCAGATCTGGGCCAGCCAGGAGCGCCTTGTGGTGATCCTGAGGCAGGACTTTCAGAAGGGGTTCCAAAGTCCAGAAGGATTCCTAATTCATCACCGTCCTTAGAGTCCACAACCTTTTCTCTCCGCTACCTCGGCCCTTGAGATGCCTCAAGGCCACGAGAAACAGAAGAAAGTACTCTGCAGGACTACATCGAGACCCGGAAACTGGCTTTACGGGACCGAAGACCTTGCCCACTCCCTACTTTGACAAATCATAATACCAACCGTTGACTGCTGTCGGCCATGCACAGGCCGAAATCAAGAAGGATCGCCTTCCAACTGTTCCATAGTTCTGCAAATCGGAGCTTCGGGCGCTGCCCGGAAAGCAACAAGCTAAAGCCAGGAAAAAAGAAGGCATCTGCTGGCGCTGCATGAACCCTACTCCCAGCCGTGTTTGAAGTGCTTCCAATTCCTCCAGAAAACAGACAACAAGACCCGTTGTGAGGAGTCCTCCCAGGTGCGAAAACTGACAGGTGGAAATGCCGGCCTCCAGGGTTTGGCTGGCAGAAGGCTTATACCATGTGCAGGAATTATGTATGGACTTTCTAGCATGTGGAGTGTCTTTCCAGGGAATTACATAGGGATAGCTTGGGGATTCTGCTTGCACATTCAAGGATGGTCTTGCGTGTGGGCAGGAATTGTTCGACTGTCGAAATGCAGCAGAACAGCAGAGAGGACGCTGGCCGCATGGGTTAGGAGCTTTCAGACCACAAGTCCTGGGAAGACTCTCACATGCAGCGCGCCTTCCTGTGAAGCAGATATGCATGACCACTCCCGCAGAGAAGAGGTCGACACTGTTGCTGTAGGAGTTGGGACCAAACCTTTGCAGCTCAAGTGTAAAGCTAGATTGTGAAAGGGAGCTCGCCAGCCCTGCATTCAGACAGGCCATGAACTGCTCTGTTTTCCGTCCAAACTGAGCTCCTGGCACTTCCGGAGCCATGTAGCCCAGCGTCCTGGGCTCTAGGTCATGGCACTGCCGTTTGGCTGACGTTCTACATCTCCTATATCTCACGACTCCGCGTGCAAAAAGTGGCTGTATGCCTGCAACCCATGCAAAACACGTAGGTTGAATAACTTACCATCAAAGGGTTTCGCTCAAGCCCCGACTGGCATGACCTGCAGAGACACGCACGTCTTTCAGAATGTGACAGAGCTGCGCAAGCCAAACGGGCACCAACGAGCAACGAGACCCACTCGCATTAATGACAGGCGAACGCTGAAACACAGGCTCCAGCTGTTACCAAGCACCCTTAGCTGAAGGATTTCGTAAGCCCTTCAAAAGGCCACACTCTCACATATTAGATAAATGCTATGGAACATCCTCCGGCCGACGCAGCCAACTTTGTAGAACTAGGAGCCGTAGAAATCGTCGCAGAAGCAATGATAACCGTAACAGAAACAGGAACAATGATGCTTGCTGCCTTTACTTTGCGACTGACTCGCTGCCGGAATCCTAAACACTCAGCTGGGGCACCCCATCGCGCCAGATCCACACCCACGGCATCCAAGACCAAAGTCGAGGAGCTTCAGAAGGGGCCCTGCGACTTATGCTTTTCCAGGTTGCGCCGCTAGGGTTGCTTCAGGGTGTTGCTGGTATTAGGGGTTGGAGGCTTTGGCTCAGGGTTGCTGGACCCGGCGGTCTAACTGCAACGATTTTACTCACTGTTCTCATTACCATCAATGCTGTTGTCATAGATCTTGGCTAAACGGAAAGCCAATTTCGACCACGAAAATTCGGCAGTCCGCTACAGATACCTGACGATGATTTATGGTTCTTAGGAAGACAAGATTCGCTTCCATCCCACGGCATCTGAAGGCTACTAATCTGGCTGGATTCCCCGGCTTGCCTCAAGTCAAAGTTGCACTGCGATCCCTGCGATTACAACTTGCTCCGGAAGACTCCTACGCCCCGCGGCGCAGTCCTTCCTGTGAGCGCTCGAGGACCATGAGGTTCTCCAACTTCACATCGCCTTGCTTAGATCTGGCTTATTAAGAAGGCTGCACAGAAGGCCTCACCACGCGGATAACAGTGTCTAGTCAAGGCATTCATAGGGCAGTTGGAGAGTGTCTGACAAGATGCGATACGCGATTGATCCTGCTGAACAAGACCATGCACAGGAGTCTGCAGCTGAGGATTCAAAAGCTCTGACGCGCTTATCCGTGCACGTCAACCAAAGATCCGAAAAAACCAACTGACAAGGTGACTCCTATTTCTCCGTCATATGAGGTCGAGACCTCCCAGAGTTCCAACATAATTCCTTACTTGCCCTTCCGCCACTCGATTCACTGACACAACCCCTACGCGCCAAGCTAAGCTCTAAACATGACCACGTCCATGAGAAGGTTGAGTAGCCGCGACCCTACATTTTCCAAGGTTCTACTCCGACAGCTAAAGCCTGTTCAAAAAAAAATGTTATTTCTTGATACTCCCTCTGACAACCAAGTCTCGATGAATCACGTCCATCTGATGGATGTAGTGCAGGGCCTGCAAGGGCTCCCAAATAGGTGGAGGTCTGCAAGAATAGCATGCGTTACAATCGCTGATAGCACTTCTGCGAAAGAGTCCCACGGTTTTTGCATTCAATCCCGTGGGCTCCAGTATATACTGTAGCTGACAATTGCAGAGCCAGTCATGATCTCAACCCTACTTTTGGGCGTCTTATGCGTGCACGGGCTGCAAAAGAGATATCTATCACAACCAGTGCGGGGCTGCGCTGTCTATCCTTAGCGTTGTTACTAGCTGTCCCAATCAGGCCCAATGATCTAGGGGATGCTTCGTGAGCCTGCTAATTCATCTTGAACATCAATTTGGAGGACATGCGCGCAGACAATTCTCATCTGCCCATGGTTGAGAACACCGGAGAACCGACACCGCAGCCTGTAGGAGTTGTCGCATAAGCTGCCGCACACGAGACTCTTGCCACGAAGGAACAACCTCAGTGCTTGACTTTCTGCAAAGTCTAAGCCCGGACCTTCGATTCCGAGTGAAAATCAGGTCGGGCCAAAGGCTTCCCGCTCGGTCGCATGCACTGGCGGGACACCATCCCGTTACAGCCCAACAGGTGCCTCCTGTGAACAAATCGAGGGGATGCTCAAACCCATCAACAACACCATACCTTGTAAGCTTCAGCCTAACTGGATCCTAATTGGATGACTGAACACAAGTAGCCTTTCATCAACACACGGAAAAACACGGAGAACATGACAACAACAGTCAAGCCAAATCCGGATCAAAGGTGCCCTTGTGGGATGCTCGTGGTGCGGCACCCGAAGGTTGTCACGGCCCGGTCTGCTCCACGTCTGAGACGCTGCGATCTGCTGGTTTTGTCGCGCTGTAATGTGGTCTGTTCAAGATTCTCGGGTGTCGCACTGTGGTCACACACGGGTTTGGGTGTCTTTCATGTGGTCTGCCGAGGGTTTGGTGTGTCAGCCATGCATCTGCGTCATCACAGTGTGGTTCTCTCTGGGCTTTTGAGCTGTTGTCAGGGAGCACTTCACCAAAGCGACTGAAGGCTTTGATTTGGGACGTCAATGGTCAGATCGTGTTTTGGGACGTCTCATGTCACTAGGGGAGGGTCCGCGTGAGTAGCGCCTGCCGTCCATGCAAGACGCATGTCAGCGGAACATGTCGGTGCTGCGTATCTGAGAGATGTGTTCCAAGGTGTGTTTGAGCAGTAGGTGAGCTTGCAGAAATTCCACATGCAAGTGACGGAACAACCTTGCCGCAGGCTGCAGCAGTTGCGAACAAGCTATAGCAAACAGAATCCAAAGCTGACACCAGGGCGATGGTAGCCGCCGTACGCAGACCCAATCGCACATGCTCAAGACATGCGCGTTAGTCTGCGGGTGGATGCCTTTCTGGGTATGTCAGCGCTGCAAGTCAACGTCGTGGAACGCATCGACCCTGCTGGTCTAGTACGCCTTTTGCGCATCTGGTGTTGTGCTTTTGTATGAAGCAGACGTCAGCTCAAAAAAGCCTGCTGTTGACAGACTACTTTTTAGCCTTGAAGAACATGGGGGAAACTCCACCCCAGCAAGCGGCTCCGGAAGCGGTGCCGGACTCTCCACATGCTGGGAAGCATGCTCTGGACAGTCTCAGAGATTCAATGAAAGCTTGCCATAAAGGCTAAAGGAAAGGGACCNNCCCCCCCCCCCCCCCCCAAAGGACCCCCCGGCTGCCGCAAGTTCCAATGAAAAGACGGAACTTGCCAAGCGTTAACGTAAGCCACACAGCTCTGCTTGCATGCTTCGTGACCAGCAGGTGCTCCAGCAGAGTTCTGCCGGGGCAGCACTCCATCACGAAGTAGAAGGAGGCGTTATCCTCACTTCGGGTAACATCAACTTTGAATTCTGCGTTGCGCTGGCACTCCAAAACACCATCCACTCCCCACCGAGGCAATTGGGTGTGACTTAGCCCAATACTGCTCATCACACGGAACCTCTCATGTCAGGGGGCATTTTATGGCCATACCCTCATTCCTTCCCTGGAAGCAACAGTGCCAAGCTGCGGCGTAGAAGTTCGTGTATCGAACAACATTCTCATGACGTAGCGCTTGGAGTTTCGACATGTACCGCCAAAACTCCTGCAGATCAGGTGCCAAGGGCTGCAGTACAGGGGTCCAAGGCTTTTGACGACATGAATACAAAACGACCTCCGAGGGTCTTTGAAGAGCCCTCTGAACATTTCACTGCCCGGAACTGGTAGACCCTCACCTATCTCGCATTTTTGCTGTTTTCCGAGGGTGCAAGGATTGGCAGGCTGGGGACATAAGGCATGGGATTCTTGCATCCGGCTGATTAAAAATGAGCCGTCCTCTGTCTCTGTGATGCGCTGTCGCCGCTGCTTCAGAAGTGGGTGCTCCTTAGCTTGGAGACCACCGAGACAGTGAAGCAGAGCTACTACACTCCCGCCTACCCAACTTGTTAGCCTCCGAACCTTCCTCAACTCTTCACTGTCTGCCCCCAGCAGATGCCGCAGGATCCAAAAATTGGTTGTTGACAGCCCACACAGCAAGCATGCAAACAATCCCAAATGCAATCTACCATAGCAACGACTATGTCCCCGGCCCGTCGGCGAACAATCTTGACAACGCTCCGCCTGGAGAAGGGTTGAAAGCGCGGGGTGAAATGCATGAGGTTTTGTGTTCGAGGTCATGGTTTGCTACAGTTTACTACTTCAGCTTGCCGCTGCTAAAGGGATGGAGACAAATGAAATTCTCTGAAGTCCTTTTAACAGCTGCATCTGACCCATACATGTGACTCAACGAGAAGTGAGAGGGGTCTGGTTTGATAGCAATCCGCTCTGCCCAGCCCACCTTATCACACATCATCTCATGATTCTATTTTGGCAGGTATTTGCAGGGGCTGGAAAAACATTGTTGAAAACATGGGGACCATCCATTGGGATCTAAAACTTGGAGCACTCTCAACTCAAAGTCTTCCATCTGTAACTACTAGAATTCAGAACAAGCTGCTCGTGGGAGTACCCCTTGCAACACTCGAAGACAGTGCCGAAGGTGCTGTCCGTGATCCTCCGTGCCCAAGACACTGAGGTCGCGCTGAGGGGGTCTTGTACAGGGGGTTGAGTGTAGGAAGCGCCTGATCCTCAAAATCGTATAGATGAGTTTCTGGATTCCATGTCTGGCCATGTTGAAGGAATTTGCGAAAACAACGGACTAGGATGCCGTTATGACTGTGGACCGACATGCACGAGTTTCGAGCAAGATTGTAAATCACAAGGGAGGGCTGAACTAGTGCAATTGTCTGTGCTCGACGTCACGGGTGGCTTACTGCTTCGTGAGCAGCAGGACCACCAACCATGACCGTGGCGTGCTGACAACCATGACATTGCTCTAGACGGGCCCCAGCCACAAATCAGTTCGCAGTGCATCGGGTCAGGCCAAGTCCAGCATCCTTCTTAAACTTTAGTTCGTTCCACCTTCCATTGTGCTACCTTCAACAGACTTTGCCAAGGGTCCGCTGGAGGTTCGGGAACAAGTCATTGAATCCTGGCACAAGTCAGGGCTCTCACTTGCAGCGGACCAAAACAAAAAGGATTTCATTGTTCCTGACCTGGCGGCCACGAAGTCTTCTGCTGCATTTCGACGTCAGCACTGCTACCACGTGAAAAGAGAAGCTGTGGCGTCTAGGAAGCCCAACTCCATCCCTCGACCTTCACGCCCCCTCCTTGAGACGAGTCTACGAAAGTCATACCCCTTCCACTTGACTTTAGAATCACAGAAGCATGCGACTTTTTGACCTTGACAAAGAACCCTGACGGCATGAATAAGCTCTTTCGAGGGACCGCCAGGCTTGTCGGCATCGGGAAGGCGCTTAAATGGATCTACCTTGGCTTCTCCAGTAGAAAGTTGTTTTGTTCATATGGACTAACACCAGACTGGATTCAGATTATCCGTCTCTGAACACTCTACATCTACTTCATCATGAGGGGTTCGTTGAGCCGGCAGTGGTTGCCAACGTCGCAAGTAAAGGGATGCTCAACTCTAAATGGGACACTGCCAGCGCAGAGGTCTTAGCCACGCTCCAGGAACTTTGCTCGTTTCATCTTGAGTCTTGCGGCCCTAAAGCGCGTCCGCTACACAAGCCTCCGAAGTAAACTGGTGATTGGACCAGAACATCACGCAGAAAGCTGTAACGCCTCACCAAGGTGCGTCCGAAGTCTTTAGGGAAGGCAACTTCTTCAGGCCTGTCGGTTGACAGGTGACGTCGACGAAATCGGTGTCTATGAAGGGCCGGAATGCACTTGTGGTAGGGTGCGCATCAGCTTGCATTTCCAAATCTGGTTGGTCACAGAGAATAGGACACTTTTAGAAAGCTTGTGTAGCAGAAGCTGAAGGAATGCAACTGCCAACCACTGGAGCTTCAAAGGTTCCAGCAGGTTTGCAAGTCACATGGGGGCAAGGAACTTGAAGTTTAAGGTTACTGGAATCAAGCCAAATTCTTTGAAACTTGCCTCAGTTGGGCTCTGATGGCTTGCTTCCAAAATACTGATGTTGAAACATGCTCTGTGAACCCTCCATGCAGTGGCTTATGCAACTGCCAGCTTCGGATTATATGTTCCAGAACATCATGTTTATCCAACATGAAGGCGAGGAAGCACGTTTTCAAGTGCATGTTGAAGAGCGAAGTCCAAGCCTCCAAGGCTTGGACTTGAGACTTTGTCTTTCGACTTCCGCGGGGCGGAACGCCGCCGTAGCAGCTCCTCAGACAGGTGTAGGACGGCCCTTCCACAATGGCTTCCTCCTGACTTCTGTCGAATTCACCCGTCCCAAACTTGAAGCAGGCCATGCGCCACAGCAACAGAAGGCCTGAATTTAAGTCTTGCTGTTAGCGCCTTGGCTGATCTAGAGTGACAGCAAGCCTTCCGATACACCAACAATCCACTTTTGGAATGCCCCGCTCTGGAAACGCCCATCTGCAGGCAAAGGTCCCAGAGGACCAGGACCGGGCATGACACCATGAAGGCCAGCAGGAAGCGGCGTCGCAGTAGCGACAGACTTAGGCAACACAGGCAGACATGCACTATTTCATACGAGGGTTTTGGGCTTCAACGGCTGTGCTGACACTGGTTCCCTCTTGCCATCTGTGCCAATTGCACTGCGTTCAGATAGCATCCCAATTCGGTGACCCTGGAAGCTACCGTCAGCTGTTGTTCTCTCTCCCTATCGGACTATAGGCAACTTAAAGGATCTCATTGAACTTCCATCCCAGTCCCGGCATTCAGACAGTCCAAGCTGTCGACTGCTGTTGCTACACGGCGCCAGAGCAGCTCTCCAACTGCTCAAAGTCAGCACTAAGGGAGATGAGGACCTCTTTGTATAAACGCCCTGGGCCATCGTGCAACGACCACACTACTTCCACTGCAGCCAAGCAGCATGCCAAGCAAAGCCTGCCAACAGTGTGAAAAGGCATTTTTGCGCGATTCTCCCTGGCTAGTGGTTGCGATGGCGAGGGTATGGATTGCAAGCTTCACTTCAAAACGCAGCGAACGGCAAAAGAGCCCCAACAACTACTTGTAGTAACTGCGCTTTACGATGATCTATGGATCTTACACTCGGGATTGCTTTGCATAATCTTTTTACACCTTGTTGGTGGCCAAGAGGTGGCAGCCGTGGTGACTTAGTGCTTGCAGTGCCATTTGGCCTTGTGAAGCCTTGCGGCATTGTTCAATGACAGCGCAGTGGCCATCACCGCAAGATCCGCGAGATCTGAGAACGGAAACACTAAATCCTGGGAACGCCGGGCCCCAACATGAGAGTTGGGGGCCTACTATGCTGGCATGATACATGACGCTGGTGCTGAGGAAGCCGTGCCCATGTCAGAACTCCAATGTCCAAAGGTTGATCCATGAAGCCTTGCTGAAGCCATCGTTCTGGACGGGCTTGAGCTCGAAATGGGCAAGGCATGTTGCTTTCATACTCATCCGGAATCTAGACCCATCAACACATGCAACATCGGAGAGGCCAGAGCCATAAATCAGAACCCAGCATTGCCTGCACTGAAGACCTGTACTGTAGTCCACGCTTACGGCAGTCAGCACTGCACCTCGAAGCAGATGTTTCATGTTCGGGAATTGCGGGACTCTCGGCATGATCTGAAAGTATCCAAATGCTCTCACCGCCACCCTTTCCGAGGCATTTCCCCAAGAAGCAAGGAAGTACCTGATGATGAGCTAGCAGTGACAACGCAGGAATTGAAGCAGCCTTTTCCGTTCCAAGGCTTGTTGTGAAGTTGCCCCGGACCTGCATTTTAGAGTCACCCCTTTGCTTTACGGCGCTTTAGCCTCAGAACGCGCGGCCTTAAGTCGACACCATTTGAGCCCCGGCATGTTGCCAGTAGCTGGGATTCATGGCAAAGTTTACCTGAAAACACAGATTGAACCAAATGGAATCTCATGCAGCCTCCTGCATTTCAAGGAAGACATTCGGCAACGCGGGCATCCGAATCCCTCAACACAAAATGGGGACGCATGTCGAGGACATGGTAAGATATTCAGGCAATTGCTCAGAATCCCTGAATATTCACTCCCCAAACAGCAGTTGACGTCCAATATTGAAGTGCGTGTGCAGATGTGGATCTCAATCAAAATCCAACACCAGCACGAGAGGCTTGTTGCCCACAGCCTCTGGTGTTGAAACTGCTGAAAATCATTGCTTGCATCTCCTGATTGTTTGAGTGTGTTTTCCCGAGCGTGACTTTGGCATCCTGCACCATCTTACGAGGTGCCTTACCACCATTCAAATTTTGTTTGCGACGGTCGACTTTGCCGACATCTCTTTGCGCGCCCTCGTGCATGGCTGAACCTTGGACTTTGGGTTCAAGCCTGAAATAACATAAAACCTCTCTCACTGCAATATCGTCCCGTGTGGCCTTTCTGCCTTCTCTGCCTCTGGTCTCACAGCTGTGCAGCGACCGACGTCAGGGCAACAGTTGCCATGCTTTTGGCAAGCCTGGGCTCCAGAAAAAGATTGCGGATGCTACTGTTTGGACATTTTTGAGTCCCTGTGCGCACGGATACAAACTGTGCCACAAGATCTCTACATTACACAAAAGCAGGAGTGGGATTGGTAGCTCAAGAGAGCTTGCAGGAGACCTTGTAGGTTTCACGGTCAGATCCTGCAACGTGGGCGGCTGCGGTCTCGAAACGGGTGAATTCGCAAGTAGCACTAGGCTTTTTCAGAGGTCCTCAATACTGATCAAGAATTACGTTATCACGAAAGGTGTGGGCTAGGGCACGACATGCTGCTTGTTGTCTCTCTGTTCCTGCCTTTCTGCAGTTTCGGAAGAACCTCAGTTTGGGAAGGACAAACAAATCGGCCGCGCTCAAGCGGAGACATCCGACTGGGCGAGCCAGGAAGCGCGGCAACACAACATCCTAGATCTAAGCCCGTTGGCTGTTCAGTCCTGGGCTCAGCAATGGAAACTACTGTGATCACTGGACGACCCTGAAGTGGCGGATCATCATGAAATGCACCACGGGATTCCACCATGCGCTCTGCGTTGCGAGAACCGTGCGTCATCCGTGCTGCTTTGTAGCAAATTCAGATCGTCCATAACTGAAGGCTTGCAAGACTTTGCCGGCGACCAAGGAACTCACCCCTGGACTTCCGAATTGACTCGGGCTTCCCCCCGTTCGGTGAATGATGCGATATGTGACTGTGCACACCTGGAATACACGACAACTCTGAAGGTTTCCTGCCATTTTCGCATGATTCAACCCAACTGCTTGGCTGTCCAAGCGCTGTACGGAGTGAAAGCTTAGCGGCTCGTGAGAAGATGGGCCCATCCCTCGTCATCAGAACATAAAACTACATGACTTGGCGGAACCTTATGGCGTCGTTGCAGGGAGTGTCGTACGGTGAACGTCAGCGAGGTCGTGTTTTCGCCTAGCTTGATGCTTCTAAGCAGCTGGGTCGCACTGGCAATCGTTGCCCCTGACGAATCAAACAGGCTGGCAGGCTCACAGACTGTCTGTCTTCCTACTTGTGTTTAGATGAATCAATCGCGGTGCGCGGCCTCTGTGCAGAACTGCTTTATGATGAATCTAGTGCACGAATTCGCCGCTGCACGCTGGATCAGACCCCTCATCCGGATCCCTTGCAACCCAGTGAGAGGTTGCTGCTTGTACAAGACGGCGCCTTACAGTGAACACACCAAGCAAGTGAAAGGCACAACAACCGGTTGGTCTGTGTTTGGTGAGACTTCGGCGTAGAGAAACAAGCACGGGCACAAATCACAGGCAAGCACGCACAAAACAACACCGAAATCTCACCAGATGACAATCTCAGTATAATTAAAATGATGGAGCACCCAAACGGCAACAATAGTAAATAGCAACAGAAAAATGCAGGCAATACTCCTGGAGCAGAAGAGGAAATGATAGGAGGTCGTGGATCCCACAGCCCTCTGCAGCAACTTTCTTCCAAATCTCGCGCCTCCGGAAGCCAATACAGCCGAGGACTGCACAGCTGCCTTCCGACAACGTACTACTCCTTCTACAGACAATCTTACTTCGTCATTGCTGCTGCTGCTGCTGCTGCTGCTGCTGCTGCTGCCGCTGCCGCTGCCGGTCATCGAGGTAGCCTTCGTGTCTTTTCATTACACCTCCAGGAGACATGCTATGAAGAGGCGGCGAAGGATTTCAGAATTCCTGTATTCTTCCTAAACCCTTTTGCGCAAGTGACTGTATGCTCCTCACTGTCACCCTCTTGCATATAAGACATAACTCATCCATATGACACCCAAAACCATCTCAATGTGAATCGGGGTCAAGACAAAGACAAAACATGAATACGTAAATCTGGATCCAGATACATATACATATATA